CTTGTTTATATGCATATTTATATGCATATGATTTATAATCTATATATTCATGCATATATCTTTTAGAAAATTGTTTGTCATCATCAAAAAAGGGGAGATTGTTGGCCTTCTTGTTTTGATGATGTTTAACAAACAATTTATCACTAATGTTGTTTGTCTAGTGTTTATATTTTTATATTTATTCTAGGCAAACAACTTGTTGGAGGATGGATGGAATTGCGCTTCAACGGTCATATCCAATGGAGGATGGAGGAATAGTGGGTGAAGCCAACACAATTCAGTTGAAGATCCAAGTTCAAGCTTTATCCTCTAGTATACCAAGTCAAGCCTCATCGAAGATCAATATTATTTGGGTATACTTAGTATAGGATAATATTATGTGTGATTAATTCTATAAGCTCAAGTTTGCACACACAATTCATTTGTGAATTTTCATGAAAATAGGTGTTTTTATGCAAATTACATTCAAATATGTTTTGAACTATATCAACCATGTTAACATCATTTGTTAAGTCCATAAAAAGGTTACACAAGCTTTCAAAACCTGATTTGATCTAAAATAGCAAAAACTAACATGTTTGAAAACTATGTATTTTAACATTGTTGAATTTTTCTGTGTTTTCACAAATGGTAAAAGCTATTTGAAAATTTCTTTTTCCAACATGTTCATATTCATGTTTATAAACTTTTCCTAAAGTTTTATATTTTTTGGATTTTATTTATTATTTTTAACAGAGCCTTGAAATTCAACTTAAAAATCAATTCAGGCTGAAAACCTGTTATCAATCGATTGATTAGTCGACTGATGATATCAATCGACTGATGAGTTGACTGAAGAAAGTGCCTAGAATATTCATTTTGCTCTCTGTTGTGTTTCTGTCGACTGACCAGTCGATTGACTCTGTCAGTCGACTGAAAATATTTTTCAGTCGACTGATAAGCTCGTTTTTGAATACAACGTTCAGCTTATTAGTCGACTGATGCTTCCCGTCAGTCGACTGACAGGCTGTTCAACGACTAGTTTTATACAGAATCTGTTTCTTGGTTTTTGGGAGATTTTTGCTGATTTGCTTGGGTTTTTGGCTGCTATTTTCTCTTCCTATATAAACCTCTAACTTCTCATCAGCAATGGATATGTTTGGAAGTGAGTTTTAACAAGAGTTTAAAAAGAATTTTAAAGTTTATTCAAGTGATTAAATTTGTGTTTACAAGAGGTGGCTTGATCTTTCAATTGGGGAATTCATCCTCAATCATCTCTAACCTCTATTGTGTTTAATAGAGAAGTTTCTCAAACTCTATTCTCTAGCAATTTGTTTTTGATTTTCATATATCATTATTGCTAGTTTGTTATTTGAGTTTGATTTCCTTTATACCCATTTTATCACACACACACCCTAATTGAGCTTATAGGATTTCATACATCATATTGGGTTGTGGGATTGTGATTTGTGAGATTGAGCCTACATTGAGTTCTCATTCATGCTAGAGAACATTTTATTGTAATTAAGCCTTTTGTGAGTTGCACATTGTACCACACTTGGACATCGAGAGAAGTGGTTGGTGAGAGACGGGGTTGGTTCCGAGAGGAGTGACGTCGGTAGTAAATCCTAGAGGTAGGTTATAATTCCGAGCACTTGAGGAAGGTGACACGGACTAGGCCAACACTTAGAGGGTGTGAAGTGTATTGCTAGTGTGTAAGTTATGAAGTTTTCGGTGAACTAGAAAGCCGTATTGTGAGGTGTAAATGTTATTCGGGTAAGTGTAGAAAACCCGGTTGTGTTAGTGGAGATCTCGTCGAGGTGAGGAGCGGAGACGTAGGTCGTGGGACCAAACTCTGTAATCATATCGTTTGTTTGCGTTTGTCTTTTTGCACACTATCTTCCAGTTTACTTGTTTATATTGCATATTCTCACTCATAATATATTATATATTTATCTTGTAAGAATAATTTGTTAATTAGTTTTAATTGGTATAGAATCAGATTAGATTAGCATAAGACTCTAATCACCCCCCTTCTAGGGTCTAACATCAACAAGTTCAGCTACAATCTCTGGCATATCTATAAGTCTTGGTCCATCCTTAGAGTATAGGTTAATACTCTATTTTGATGTCTTTTGGTTTTCACAACTGAATGGAAAAATTGTGAGCACTTGTCTCCATGCACAGTCCAATTGATGTTAGTTTTTTGTCTATGAAATGACTCTTCACAATGCAGTAATCTATTGTATTTTTGTATACATTCATTCTCTTTAGAAATTAGGCCTTGGTTGAAGAGTTCAATACTCAACTGCTTTTGTAATTCAATTACTCCTCCTTTGCTCTTAAGACTTGCTCACTAATATTCATGAAATGCTTTTTGTTCCTTGAGAGCATGTTTTAACCTCTTGAGTTTGGAATACAGCTTGTACATGTTATACCCACTTATATCTTGTTCCCAAACAGAGTTTACAACTGATAAGAAATCTGGATATTTTGTCCACATTTTATAGAATTTAAAAGGCTTTTTACCTTGGAAATTAATCCTCTTCACCAACTGTTACAAGTGTTGGTGAATGATCAGAGCAAACTGACATTAAAAACTACACTTGACTTTATGTATATTGATGTGTCCATTTATCATTAATCTAGATCCTATCTATTCTGCTCCAAACTCTAGCATTGGCTTCTTGTTTGTTACTCCAAGTGAAAAAAACATCCAATGGATTTAATGTGAAGCAATTGACTTGAGGATATAAAGCTTTGAAAATCAACTGTGTCAGCATCAGAAATAGATGCTCCTCCCAGCTTCTCTTCAGCACTAATAATTGCATTGAAGTCCCCACCAACCAACCAGGGACAGTCAACATTCTGCTTTAGATTGAGTAGCTCTTGCCATAAACTTTTGCTTCCTTCTCTTTGATTTAAAGCATAAATCACTGACATCAAACAAGAGAATTTGCCGTTTTTCAATTGAACTGAACATGTCAAGCATTGTTCAGTGGACTTAATACATTAGATTGTAAGAATATCATTATTCCAAAGTAATCAAATCCTTCCATTTCTAGCTTCCTGAACATTTGATATCCAATTCCAGTCTTTAGTAATTTTCCTGGCTACGTGCTTCATTTTTTCCTCAGTGAGCTTTGTTTCTAAAAGTGCTATAAAGGAAAGCTTATAATCATATATGAATTGCTTGACAATTAAATGCTTAGAGGATTTATTAAATCCTCTTATATACCAGATAGCTAGATGCATTATTGATTCTCACCCCTATCAATATAACATGGGTCAAACTCATATACCTGAGAATCCAATGGAGAGAATTGAGATTTCTAATTTGAATCCCCTGAAATGTTGATTTTTGCTCTCCTAGCAATATTTGCTCTGTTGACACTTGTGAATCCAGATGCATTTACCATTGGGGATGAAAATTGGTACACATTTGCAAGGTCAGAATTCCCATGCCTGATACTTTGTATGTCAAGTGTGCCTTTGTCAAGACTAGCAACAACTTTACCCTTATCATTTATTTTGTGCATGTTTTCTCTAGTTTTTTACTATGCATTTTTCTTAGTGTTTACTCCACTTCCCAGTCTAGTCCAGTTCTGTGTATCTTGTGTAGGATTTACATCTTGCACAGAATTTCCTTCTCCCTCTTTCTCTCTCTCTCTCTCTCTCTCTCTCTCTCTCT